GACATGACAGACATTTCTCAAAAGAAGATATAAATATGGCCAATAGACACATGAAAAGATGTTCATCATCACTAATCATCAGGGAAATGCAAATCAAAACTACACTAAGATATCACCTTACACCCGTTAGATTGGCAAAAATATCCAAAACCAAAAGTGACAAATGTTGGAGAGGTTGTGGAGAAAAAAGAACCCTCATACACTGTTGGTGGGAATGCAAACTAGTGCAGCCACTATGGAAAACAGTATGGAGATTCCTCAAAAAATTACAATATGATCCAGCAATTCCACGGCTGGGTATTTATCTGAAGGAAACAAAATTACTATCTCAAAGAGATATATGCACCCCCATGATCATTGCAGCATTATTTACCATAGCCAAGACCTGGAAACAACCTAACTATCCATTGACAGATGAATGGATAAAGAAGGTGTGTATGTACATACAATGGAATACCATTCAGCCACGAAAAAGAAGGAAATCTTGCCATTTGTGATAAAATGTGTGGACCTTAAGGGCGTTATGCTAAGTGAAATAAGCGAGACAGAGAAAGACAAATACTCTATGATCTCACTTATAGGTGGGATCTAAAAAAACCAAACTCATAGAAACAAACAACTGAATGGTGGTGGCCAGAGGTGGGGTTGAGGGGTAGGGGAAATGGATGAAGGGAGTCAAAAGGTAAAAACTTCCAAAAGATAAATAAGTCTTGGGGATGTAACATACTGCATGGTGACTATAGTTAACAACACTGTATTGTATATTTGAAAGGTGCTAAGAGAGTAGATCTTAAAAGTTCTCATCATAAGAAAAAAATATTTGTAATTATGTGAGGTGATGGTTGTTAACTGAACTTACTGTGGTGATCATTTTGCAATATATACATATATCAAATCATTGTGCTGTACGCCTTAAACTAACACAATGTTATATGTCAACTACATCTTAATAAAATTAGGGAAAAAAGGTTTTCAAAATAGCACCCCATCCTATTTTGTGTAGGTCTGGAAGATTCTGCGTGATTATCTCTGGGTGATAATATTATGAGCAATTTTCAATTTTTTCTTTTTTGGTTATCAACGTCTTCTACATGTTCTAATAAACGTGTGTGTTTTAAACTATCAAATAGATGAGCTGAGCTGCTATAGATGTGAAAAATATTAAACGTCGGGGAGATTTAGGAACATCTAAATCCGAACATTCAGTAGTAGGATGTAGTCTTTCTTGACTGTATTAATCACACTTAAATAAGGTGACTGAAACTGTTTAATCACAGTGGATTGTGTTTACACACCTTGTGAAAAACTTGATTGTAATGCATCTTCTCTAGAGAGAGAGTGTGTGGCAGAAATGGAGCGGGTCTGCCTGAAGTTCAGAAAAAGCAAGAGCAGACATGAGACCGTGCGTGGGTGATGCAGGACTGGGAGAGAGGCTGCATGGGCAGAGGGGTGCTCTGTTGTGGATATGCATGGAGAAGCACCAAGAAATTCCCGCCCACCACTATTTGCTTACTAGGTACAACGTCCTGTAAAGTGGGTACCTCAAAGAGGGGAGCACTTCTTTCCCTACAAAAGCCTGCCTCTCAACGTCAATCGAAACATTAGCTGTCTCATGAACGCGTCAGTCTCTTGTGAGTCTAGGTTCTGTGTGACCATCGCTGTCAGTCTGGTCATTTCTGTGGCTTCTGAACCAGATCCTAGTGATTGTCCCTAGGTCTGCCCCTGCTGGACTGGCAGCCTGCTCTGCTTTGCGTTGGGTGTTTCTACGGAACCCGAATATTCTCTGTTTTCAAGGAATACATCAGTGTCTTTCTGAAGACGAGACTTTCGCTCTCAGGAGGGACTCTAACACTGACACCATCAAGTTGGTGAAGGGCTATATCTGGGGAGGGTGAGCCATCACCTGTGAAGTTATATCCTGACTACAAAAGCTGAACTTAGAACTGGTCTGAAGCACTGCATCATTTCCTGGTTTGTTTGTTTGTTTGTTTGGCTCATCTTTTCCTTCTTCTTATTCTTAACCAGAAGCTTAATAAATTCATTGATTGACATTCGCACTAAGTTTTCCCCTTAAGGCTAATCTTGCGCAGGCACAAGTGTTCTCAGAGTCAGGGGGAGTCAAGGTTCCTTTGCCTGAGCCGTGCTGTGGTGGGAGGACTGACATCTGGGTGCAAGGCACTGGGGTTGAAGGATTGCTGGAGCCCACAGGACACATGTGAAGAGTGGAAATTTGTAATTTTACTGAAAAGGAAAGTGAGTCTCAGGAAGGTTAAGTTATTGGCCAAATTGAAACTCTAAACTCACGGTGTTTCTTAAACTTCTTTGATGATTTAATAAAATTCTGTATGTATTGCTGATTATAAAAGTAATATACGTTCATTAGAGAAAATCTGGAACATAGACCAAAAGATAAAAAATAAAATAAAAATACCAATCATCTTACTATTCATAAGAAAACATTACCAGTTTGGTGTATTTCCCTCCAAACTTCTATCCATTAAATAATATTTATTATTATTGTTATCATTACAAATTGTGATTCCCATTTTTTTCACTTATTCTAACTTCAGTGACATTTTTGAAAATTAAAATTCTGGAAGGTGTCTCACCTGGGAGACCTCCTCACACTATAATCAGGATGGACTCTTGCCAGCTGCCCAGGGTAATAGCCTCGGAGGTCTTGTCCTTGACGAGCAATGAATATACTAGTGGATAAAGTAAGGGATGAGAAAAGAGCAATTATTACGATTAGTTATTTGCAGAGGAACACCAGCTGTGGTATAATAAAAAATATGTCCAGTCTTTGTCCCCAGTCCCCGGCATGGAGCTTATAAAACCCTTGGGATTTCTTGACAGGAACGTCTTTTGTTATCCACTTTTCAGGATTCATAAGGAAATATTTGACTTGTCAGGTATTAGTTTCAAAATATCAGGAAAAAAAAGAATAAGAGGATATATAAAACCAGTGAGGCAATGTTGACAATTGTTGAAACATGCGAATGAGTAAATGGTGGTCCTTAAACGATTTTTTTCGACTTTAAATAAGTTTACAAACGTTCACAATGGTTTTTTTGAAACTGTAATACTTAAGTATGTTGAAGCTAAAAATGAAGAAGCACTGTGATGTCAAAGAACAAGGTGCCTGTGAGCCCGTGGAGGACTCTCACCCTGCCTGGGAGGGCTCGTTCTGAAGCACAAACCCAAGTGGAAGAGGTGGAGAACGGGAGGAAGTGCTTCCGGGCGTGGAGGTGAGACGGGTGTGGACGGCTGACATACAGGGGCTTGGGGGAGACAGGCGAGGGCGTAGTGGTGGCCAGACTTCACACTTTGAAATACATCTTATTTTATAATAAACTCCTTTTCCTCTTAGATTATAGTTACAGCATTATATTGATATTTAAAGTTATGTGTAGTTAATTATGTTACAGATTTTATTTCAGAAAAGTAGTAGGGACATTACAAAGTATTTGTTACTAAAGAAAAGGGAGTCTAACAGGTTGAGAACCACTGATGTAGGTGACAGGGAATCTTTGTAGGATTTTTAAGAATATTGATGATGTAACGCAATTTTTATTCTAGAAAGATTTTCGCTGGTGGCGGTGTGGAAAACACATTTAAGGACAATCTAATTAGAAGCATAAAGACCGGTTAGGTGGTGGTTGCAGTAACTTGGGTGGGACATGGTGAAGCTCTGAACTATGTGGCGGCAACGTGGACGGAGAGGAGGGGACTGACTGAGGTGCTTTTGGAGAGAGGAGTGAGGGTAGAATAGAGAGAGTGCCCCAGCCAGGCTCAGGCTTTGGGCACGCTGTCATGCCCCAGGAGAGGCACACAGGGAGGGGACCACTGTAGAGACGGTGACCTCATAGAGTCTGTGATCTGTGGGGTCTTTTGGGACCCTCCACAGACTTTAAGCACTCAGTAGGTGCCATAAAAATTCAGGAAGAATCATTAGAAAGTAGTACATAGTTTTGGATGAAGGAGCTCACCAAATATGTTTTGGATAATGAATGAAAACTTAAACTATGCCTCCAGTCCAACCAGCATTTATCGAAGACACATAACGTACCCCTCTCACTGCTAGGTTCTGCAGACGAAAAGCTAAGAGGAAGTCCTTGTCTTCAAAATGCTCTCGATGTGCTCAAACAGTGATGGGATAAAGGGTCAATCCCCACTGATTGGCACAGAGAGGGAGGGGCGTCCAGGGTTCGGGCAGGCAAATCGGATGGGGAAGAGATGCCAGCTGAGGGAATTCTAGGAGCCCAGACTTGAACAGAGTTGGATCAGAGTGGAGCGTGTGGGGGCCAGTGGAGATCTCGCTGTCAAACTAGTATGAAAGGCAAGCACTGTGAGCAGGGCGGGTCTGTCTGTCTATGCAAACAGGACCTCAGGGAGCTCTGATTTTCAGAAAACCACAGGCTGTCTGGGCTTGTCCTGTGGCTGGGATCATATGACTGCGCCGTGAAGAGTAAACAATAGTAAATAACAAATGACATTTCTGAGTGAGTGGGAATGGGAGACAGTTTTCTTAGGTGGCCGTCCAGTTTCTGAAGCACTGCCTTGAAAGATTATCCCAGGGCCATGTGACAGTCTGTTAAGATCCAGCTGGAGTTCCAGCATGACACTGGTTTCGCACGCTTGCTATGCGGCTCGCAGTAGGCTGTGTTTTGAACACGCACACAACAAAGGTCTGCTGAGTACAGGTGAAGAGCCCGAGCGCTGCTCCCTAGAAGCTGCCTGCAAAGCTGTTGGAGAGCCGAGAAGCCCTTCCCCAGCACCGGGGAACACGCCCTGCCCGCCGTCCCTTGCAAGCGTCTCTTGCCAGACAGAGTGGGAAAGCGTGTAAGCAGGTGATGCCGGAGGAGGGAGTGGAGAAGTGGAGAGGTTTGGGGAGTGAAAGGATGGCACACTTTGCCTCCGCACTTTGGGTAGACTTTCCAAATTCCCCCACGTGGCCTTCTCCTCAAACAGGAGAAAGCTCCCAATTAAGAGGTTAAAACACCAGTTGTTTGGGAGAGAATTTTAATCCCCTAACGGGCAATGCCTCGCCTGCTGTGTCAGTCAGAGTTCCCAGAGGCTGCACGGTACTCCGCCTCTCCTGAGGGGAGTTGGATGGGGGGCAAAAACAGGTTAATGGCTAGGAAAGCGGTGCTGGCTCTGCAGACCCGGCCACTGTATTGACTCGGCTTCCACGATTCTTGAATCAGCTGCAAAAGGCCTTTCCCGCTCCTTGGGTGGGACCAGCAGATCAGCTGTGGCCAGCCCCACTGTGCATTGCTCACCATCCCTGAGGTGTTCAGTCCAGACAAGAGCATGCCTGCCCATGGGAGGGCAAGTGTAGCTGGAGCGGGATCTGGGCTTAGCCAAGCCAAAATTCCATATGCACAGTGGGGGTTGTGCGTGTCTGTCCCTCGAGAGCCTGGCCCTGCGGCCTACCGTGGCACGTGTTCCCGTGACTAGCAACTCTGCTCTGTCTGCTTCGGGCCTCATGCTTTACAAGGTGGCTTTACAGAGGCATCCTCATCTAATTCTCACAGTCACCTCCCCAGGTAAATATTAACTCCTCGTTACAGAAGAGGAGACAGGCTCAGAGAGGCTAAGTGGACTTTCTAACATCACCTGGCTAGTAAATGCCAGAGCCATGAGTCAAGCCCAGTTCTCTAAGCTCCACACTGCATCCAGATTCACGTGTGTGTATACACGATGGCTTTTCTTCAGAAGAGTTCAGTGCTGTTTTGGTTTGAACTCTGTGATTCTCTCGCTTCCAGGCAGACAGGAAGTAGACGTTGTGTACCAAGAGAACAGGAAACGAAATAGACGCGGCAGTGTTAGCCGGAAGCTGCTTTCAATTCCATAAAACAAGCTCTCGCTGCAGGCTCACACGTGTCCGCCATGTGCTGTGGATACAGTGATGACAAGTACTGTCTTTCCACCCGGGAGTTCCTAACGTGGTAGGGAAAACCAGCTTTAGACAACTAACGAATCACCGACAGTCTGTGAGTGCTGTCCACTCAGGAAACTGAGGCTCAGGGGGAATCAGTAACTTAGTCAGGACGTGAACGGATAAGTACACAAGATGGGGGACAACCAGGCCCATGCTCTCGTCTCCCAGACCCCCTGGCTCCACAGTGGCTCCTTAAGGAAGAGCGGAGCCTCAGTTCCTCATCAGTAAAGTAGGGGTGACACTATCGTCTCCACCCATTATTACATGGGCGTCCAGGAGACATCTGTGAACATATTTGGTGACTAAAACATCCCATCTGTGTTAGGTGTCGCCATCATTCTAGGATGCACTGACCCCACCGCTGCCTTTTGATCTCCCAGAGACGGCTTCAATCAATGTTTTTAAAATCCATTTAAGTCCAACACAAATTCCATGCCACATCGAGTGTAGTTCACCTCAAGTGGTCTTTTCAAGAGCATCCTGGGCTCCACAAACCAACACAACAACCAGCCCTGTGCCTCAGGGACAGGCCTGTAGCTTGGGGATGGCACCAGTTCCATCTAATATAATGCTTTTTTTTTTGCTGATGAAGATTTGCCCTGAGCTAACATCTGTGCCAATCTTCCTCTGTGTTGTATGGGGTTGCTGCCACAGCATGGCTGCCGAGTGGTGTAGGTGTGCACCCAGGAACCAAACCTGTGAACCCAGGCCGCCAAAGCAGAGCATGTCGAACTTAACCACTATGCCACAGGGCTGGCCCCACAATATAATTTTTATTATGAGAATTCTGTGAACCATTTACTATTTAATTTTATTAGGGGCCCCTACTGGTTGTAACTCAGTTTCCCTAGGATAGCCCCAAGGGTTAGGCATTCAAGGATGAACTGGATACATGCTTGTGTGAAAGCAGGGCAGGCGTTCTGCAGGCGCGGGCGGGCACCAGGAGGCCAAGCCGCAAGTAAATGACAGAATCATCGTTTCTCGTTGACTCATTCATTTTCAGTTTTTCAACAAAGTTGCATAAAGGGCCCACCACATGTGGCCATCTACTGGGCGGAGGTTAGGATGTGGGTTGCCGAGGGAGGCAAGCCCCCAGGGGAGCTAACTTAGAGATGCAGTGAAGTGCAGGGATCCAGGGCACCGATGCTGGAGCCACACCGGTTGGGTCAATACTGCCTCTGCCCGTTACTTACTGGCTTGTGGGATCTTGGGAGTCACTTAACCAGTCTGTGTCTCAGTCTCCTCCTCTGGACCTCACAGCTGCCCTGAGAGTTAAACGAGTCAACGCACACCTAGATCAGTGCCTGCCACGCAGTAAGAGCTGCGCCAGTGTTCGCTATTATTCCAGTGGCTGAGACAGACAGGAAACAAACAAAGTAATTGGAAGTTGTGATAAGGGCCAGAAAGAACACCAAAAAGGGTGTGAGATGGAGAATAACGGAGGTGGAGAGGAGGGCAGAGGCAAAGATTCCTCTAGCCGGATGGTCAGGGAACGGCTCTGTGAGCAGCTGACCACAGAACTGACACATCTGGTTGGGGGGGAAGGGAGCTAGTGGGACAGGGGCCTGAGGTGGGGGAAGGGAGACATCCAGGGAGCAGGATCACATCCCAAAGCCCTGAGGTATGGAGGAGGGTACCTACTGAACAAAGCGAAGAGCTGGGAGAAGCCAGGAGGGGCAGCCAGGCCCGGTTCACCCAGCGCTCTGTAGGCCCAGCAAGGAGTTGGGATTTTACAGAAAATGCAATGATTGCAGGGTTTCATGCAACGGAGGTCTTTGATGCAATTCACATTTTATGACGCCCAATCTGGAGAATGGACTGTAGGACAAGAGAGGTGGTCGCTGAGGGTGAGCAGGGGAGAGGTGGTCTGGACCAAGGGGTGACACTGGAGCCAGGGAAGCGCATTCCGACGGGAGACACATCCTGGAGGCGGAACTGAGGAACTTGCTCATGGACTGGACTCACTGCTGTTGCAAAGGCAGGCGAGGCATAAAGTAGACAGCCCAGCTCCACGGTGGGGACTGCCGTGCAGGGTCGGGGCACCTGTCTAGTCTAGGAGCGGTGTGGACGAGTACAGGGAACTGAATGCAGCCCAGCCTCAGGACCTCAGCGGGCCCTGGTGCCTGCGGTGTGTGACCCACCCGAACCCGCAGGCTCCCCACAGTCGGCTCAGGCGGGGCCCCTGCCTCTGGCCTGGTCCCACTGAGTCGCAGGAAGCAGCGGCCGAGGGAGGCTTGTTTCCATTTCCCCAGGAGATGAGACCACAGGTCAAGGGGCCTGACAGGGGGCAAAATAGATCTCACACACACACAAGGCCCACGGGCTTGTGGGGAGCGAGAGACCAGGAAACGCTGGGACCCGCCCTTCTCCCTCCCCCTGCCTCCTCCTCCCGAGGTTTCAGTGAGGTAAGGGCAGGCTCTGTACTTCCCCTCAAAGAGGGCTCCTAAAGTGTCTGCAGTGAAGCATCCTTCCCTCACCGCCCCTTCAGTAATTCCCGGAAGCAAAAGGTCTTACCTCTGCTGACAAAACACTGTTAAAAATAACTAAATACTAAAATAAACACGAGGCTTGCTCAAAACCACACAGCCAATGGGGCTGCAAGAGGCTGACCCCAAAGTCACCTGCTGTGTAGGGTTCCTACCCCTATTTTGCAGCTTCTGAATCTCTGCAGACCCCATAGCCAGTGGTGAAGGGAGAGGGGGATAGGATTTGTCGATTGTTATCCGATATTGCTTACAATAAAACATGTCTAGGACTTGTTATTCTCGGGCCAATGGATGAACTTCGTGAATGAGTGAAACCCCTACTTAGTTTCCATCTGTGCAGTCACCTCCCGTGTGCCAGGCACGGGAGTGGTTTCCTTTGTCTCAAGCAGAGTAAAGGGGTCCCCTCTAAAATTTGACCTTGGGTCCCTCAGACTTCTCCCCAAGCAAAAATCCAATATCCTTCTAGTCTTTGGGGAATGTGGAGTTGCCTGTTTGCTTGGATTCTGCCATGAGGGTGAGATTTCTTTTACAACTTTCCCTAAATACAAAGAAACTTCTCTAGATCCCTCTGGCAGCAGGGGTCTCTCAATCACAGAGCAGCAGGTGAGCGATGCTAATTCCCCGGGTGCCTGCCTGCCCTGCGGTGGCTCCGGACAGCGTCTGCATCCGGGGGAACGTCACCTGGGTGGGATCACTGGGCGGCGGTCAATGAATTCACGGAGCCGGACGGCAGCCATCATGGACGCGATTCTGAAAAAAACATTGCCGAGTGAAGGTTCGTACACCTTTCCGAACCTGTCCTGTCTAGTACTACAAAGTCTGTCTTGAAAGAAATCACGGTGAGAAAACTCATATAGCAGAGGACTATCCATGTCTTCTGCTAGACTACGTAGGGAAGGAAATAAACTAGTAAAGGGGCAAAAGTGGAAAGCATAAGCCAATACATACAGACATGCTTTTCTTTAAAAATAAAAAGTACTGTGCCAGCCGGGCACTCGGCCTCCTTTCTCACCCTTCCGAGGGGGCTTTCCCACTGCACAAGCTTGCAGGCTGGGTATCACATTTCCCAGACTCCCTTGCACCTAGAGTTCTGCATGTGAATTAGACTCCTCCAGTCAGATGTTCTGGAGTGAGATTTGGCAAGCAAAGGAGACAGAGGCCGTTTCCTGCTGCTTTGACTTTTTCTACTGGCCAGCAAGGTTGTGAAGATATGGGGTGATGTCTTTCCACCACAGAACTCCAGGGTCCTACCCCCAGCTTTAGGGATGTCAAGAAGAAGTTGCGTTGAAGGCATTGGCTGAACCCCGTGTTCCAGTGTTCAAACACCGGCTTTGTGAGCATGGAGAGGGAGCTGCAGTGGCAGTGGTGGTGGCTTTGGGAGTAGGTTATTGAACTCAGTTGTTCTGGAACCAGCTTCCTGATTAGGGCAGAGGTCACACTTTCCATGATGGATCAGTTTTGTGGCGGTTTTCCAGAATCTTTCTGGAGGCTTTCCCCAGAGTCTGTTCCTCTAGGCCTTCCAATGATTTTTTAAGCACCTCATTATCTATATCAAACCCTTTCTGTTTCCTGTACTGACCCTGGACTTAAATGTATAATATGTATTGTTTCTAGTCTAAAATTTCATATTGCATCTGTTCATTTGCTAGAGGAGATGACTTGCCACAGAAAACCACGACATCTAAATGTTTGCTTGAGAAAGCGTCAACAATAGGGAGGGGAACTGCGCGCCTGGGGGACAGAGGTGGGAGAAAGCCTTACTCTTTTACAGTTTACCTTTTGTGCACCTTATGAATTTTGTGCTATGTGTATGTGTTATGTGTATACAAAGACAACTGGGCCTTTGATTTGCAGAAACATGGCCAATGGTCTAGCAGGAGAACACTGGACTGAGACCCACGTGATCACCGGCAGGTCTTTTCCCTGCTGCAATGGACTGAAAGTGTCCTCCCCCAAATTCAGACGTTGGAACCCTATTCCCAAAGCGATGGTGTTAGGAGGTGGGGCCTTTGGGAGGTAACTAGGTCATGAAGGTGGGGTCCTTCTGAATGGGGCCGGTGCTCTTATGAAAGAGACCCCAGAGAGCTGTCTTGCCTTCCTTCTGCCATGTGAGGACACAACAAGAAGTTGGCAGTCTGCAACCTGGAAGAGGGTTCTCACCAGATCTTGAACATACCGGCACCCTGAGCTTAGACTTCCATCCTCCAGAACCATGAGAAATGATAGTCTGTTGTTTATAGACCACTCAATCTGTGGTGGTTCCTTATAGCAACCCAAGTGGACTGAGGTACCCACGCTCTATATGGATGACTTTGATCTCTCTGTGGAGGGGTGAGTGAGGCAATAATGTGGCCCTGAGTGTTCTGTAAGCTAAGACGTACCTTTGAGAAAAGAGAAAGATGAGTTTCCATTTATAAGCATGTATTATGTGTCAGATAACCTGTATTAACTCACATTAGCCTCCCAGAAACCCTATGAAGTATTATCACCATGTTACTGACAAGAAAACTGATGTACTGAGGAGTAAAGTCACTTGTACAAGGAAACAGAGGTGGACCTCTCCTGATCGAGAAACGTTTTTCTTAACAACTGTGCTCTATTGAAACAACCACAGAGCACCGAGACCTCCAGCCAAAGCAAAACTGGGATGGCGCGAAAGAAGCAGGAAGGAGAAAGGGTTGGACAAAGCGCCAGCCTCCCTCTCTGCCCTTTCTAGTCAACACGCGTGAACTCCTCGTCCACAGGCCAGCGAGCTGCTTTACTTCAAGCGTGTTCTTCAAGCAATGTGAAAATTTTCAGACAAGATTACCCTTTAGCAGAATATTTTGGCTATCCCGCAGAGCCCATTCATTATACAATGTGTTTTTACCTTTGGCATTGGTGGGATTGTAAAAAAAAGAAGAAAGGAAGAAAGAATGAAAGAGCAAAGCTGAGTAAACACAACTGAGCTCTTGCTGAAACTCAGAAAGCTGTGACTGCTGGGGTTTTACTTCATTGGAAGTGACACGCTGGAGAGAAGGGTGCAAGGCGTTCAGGACATTTGTGCTCATAACAAAGACAACACCAAGTGCGCCTTTGATGACAGAGTGATTGCTCAGTGCCTAGACATTCTGAATCAGCACCCTAGGGAGTAAACTGGTCATGGGTTGCATGCTTTGGTCATGTCCCGAAAACATTTTCAGGGGAAGATATTAACAGGTCACTTTGGGTCTAAACCTGAGCTCCAGAGTAATCAGCAGACCTTGTCTGGGAGTGATTCCAGACCCGCATTCCGCATCTTTGAGAATTCCTCTACCATGTATATAAGGGATACCAAGTCACACGTTGCAAGGTAGTTATCTCTTGATAAGATACATAAGAAAATGTAGTTTGCAAACAAAACACTTGTCACCGTCTGTCATACTGTGTGTTTACTTGTGTTTCTTGCTCACATCTGTTTACCCCATTAGAAAGCAGTCTCCACGGGGGCAGGAGGGTTATCTGTTTTGTTCACTGTCGTATCCCTGGGGCCAAAGGTAACTTTTGGCCCAATAAATAGTAAATATTTATTGGATAACTGAATGTGCCATAATTTATGAAACCCAATCCCCTAATGTTGGACATTTTGGTCATTCTGAACATCTATAGGAATATATTTTGATTCTATTGAAATTATTTCTTAAGATATGTTCCTAAGAATGAGTCGAAGTTTGGGCATCTTCAGGGCTCTTACTTAGGAAGATTTTAGCCACTTTCATTAATTAGTGCTGGCCCATAAACCACTTTGGTTAGAGTCCCAAGGCAAAGAAATTAAAATTTAACAATAGAATTTTTTATTATGCTGATATTCAGAAGGTGAACTAAAGTAAATGAATAACAGATGTACATTGCAACAAATTTCCTCAAGGTTAATATTCAACATGCTAACTTCAGGAACAAATGTATAAGATTTATTTTGTCAATTTTCTCAGCAATTTTTTGATATTATAGAATATATTACTGATCAATCAGATTTCTATAAAATACATTAACATTGCAAAAAAGCTGATAAAATCTGCACATTTATGGTAAAATTTCTTAGCAAATAATGATGGAACTTTCTCAACCTGATAAAGAATATCTGCAGAAACCTACAGCTAGCATCATACTTAATGGTGAAAGACTGGATGATTTATTCTCAAAATCGGGAACAAAACAAGGATGTTACTCTTGCCACTCCTATCCAACACTGTGCTGGAAGTCTTAGCCAGTGCAATAAGACAAGAAAAGGAAATAAAAGGCATAGAGATGGGAAAGGAAGAAAACTGTCCCTATCTGTAAGTAACACAATTGTCTGTGTAAAATCTTTGGGAATCTACACATAAACTCCCCAAACCAATTGAACAAGACCACAGGATACAAGGTCAACACATAGAAAATAATTATATTTCTATACTTTAAATCAAAAAGTGGGACCAAAATTTAAAGTACAACTATTTACAACCACTGAAAAAAAGAAAGGAATATGAGGCATGAATCTAACAAGATGTCAGATGCACAGGCTGTATGTGCCGAAAACTACAAAATGCTGATGAAAGAAATCGAGAAGACCAGAGACACATACTGTGTTCATGGATTGGAAGATAACATAGTAAAGATGACAGTTCTCCCCAGATAGAGCTGGTTTACCTGATCAAACTTCCTAGCAGGACTTCTTTTTGTGGGTAGAGACAAGCTTATGCAACAATTTATTTGGAAATGCAAGGGAACTAAACTAGCCAGAGCAGTTTTGAAGAAGAACAAGCACCTTCTGCCAGAAAGGGATGGAAACAAACTGGTCCTCAGCTGACACCCACTTACTTCATTCAGTGCTCACAAGTCCTGAGAGCCGTTCATGACTATCTTGAATTTGTATAAGATGTTAATGACATGTGTAAGGTCACACATCTAGTCAACAGAAAAGGCCAGGTGGGTCTGACTCCAGAGCCCGTGCTCCTTCTGCTGCAGGGCCACTGCGCCACGGATCCACTCAACACATATTGTTGGTCACACACCTCCGTCTTGCACCAGACCAGCCAGTAGAGAAAGAGAATTTAGCAAAAGCTATGTGGTTCTGCCCTCATGCTACTTACACAGTGGAGGAGATGAAGTCAGATATCCATCACAGAGTCGCACGAGGCCACATAAAATTAAAGCTCAGTAGTTCCTAAAACAGAATCCTCTGACCAGTTGTTTTTAGGTAGCTGAGCAGCTGTGTCCCTCCTCCATGGGAATTCACAGGAAAGGCTCTGAGAGCAGATAAGTTACATTTGCTTCGGAACACCCAAACATCTCCCTTGATTTGAAGCACGTGAAATGCTCTCCTTAGGACATGGGCTTTCCAAGGGCTAGAAAACATTTCTAAAAATTGGCATCTATTTTTAGGGTAGGAAAGAGTTAAAAATAACATTTAAGTCAGAGGTTGGGTCCTCCCAGTACAACACCAAGTGGATCCAGTAGTAATTACCTGGTAAGTTTAATCAACTTTTGAGCTTCAATTAAATGATAACTAGCATGTTATCATTTAGTTAATCTGTCCCAAGAAGGGGCAGAGGCAGGATCTTAGAGTCAGGGTCCCAAGACTCCATGGCCTGTCTAGTAGTTTTGGGGAAATTCGAGGACTAGTCGGGCAGTGACATTTAAACTGGTGTCTGAATGGCAACAGTGGATTTTCTGGATGTACTTTATAACCCCGAGCCCCGGGTGCCCTTTTCCTTGGAGGTGTGGCATCGGTATTCTGTTGGGTTCGTGGGGAAAGCCATGCCCTAGTGACCTGACAGTGCAGAGAAGGTGTGGGGGGATCTGACCCCCCTCAGCAGTGGGACGTCTACCCTGGCTAGGAGTGTGACAGCAGCCTCAGTGACTGCAGGATTGCTCTCTAGCTAGGACAACTGCTCCCAGCAGCTTTTGAGCACTTGTGTCGTGACAGAACATGTAGAGAAGGGTTTTCAGTAACCGAGTTCCCTTGACGGTCTCCTGTTGCTTGTGCTTCCTCAGGAAGCTGCTCTTCCCAGTTCAGGAAGGCTGGTTGCCTGCCTCCCCCCGCCCCCCGTCAGTGGATGCTTTTCCTTTCCTTCTTCTCTAGTCTAAATTCCACCCATTCTTCAGGGCCTTGTTCCAGCCCTACATCATCTCCTACAAGGCCTCTGTTCTGAGTTCCAAAGGCTCATTGCCCATCTCTGAATTCCCAGTCACTGATTCATGCTGTCATGCATTTTGGTTCTAAGGGCTTTCTCCATTGGTTTGTTGGTTTCTGAATTCATTTACTCATTCTATCATTTAAGAAAATATTTAATGAGGGGCCAGCCTGGTGGTGTAGTGATTAAGTTCGCACACTCCACTTCGCTGGCCTGGGTTCGCAGGTTCAGATCCCTGTTTGTCAAGCCATGCTGTGGCAGGTGTCCCACATATAAAATAGAGGAAGATGGGCACAGGTGTTAGCTTAGGGCCAGTCTTCCTCAGCAAAAAGAGGAGAATTGGCAGCAGATGTTAGCTCAGGGCTAATCTTCCTCAGAAAAAAAAAAGAAAGAAAAAATATTTAATGAGTGACAAATTTATGCCAGGCCTTGGATAAGGGTCTAGAGATTCTTCAAAGAACAAGATGTGAGTTTCGCACAGTCTTGCCTCTCCAGCTGAAATGTAAGTTCCTACATGTTGGAAGCACATTGTTTTGGAGGCCACTATCTTCACTCTCCTTGTCTTTCTCCTACCTCACTGTCTTGCAAAGTGTTTGCTATCCAAGGAAATGCTCTCTGCATACTTTAGAATGAATGAATAAATGAAAGATTCAATCAATCAGTCAACTCAGTAACCTGGTAATCCAGTTAGCAGTTTTTAAGCTTTGTTCTTCTTGTATCATAGGAACCAGATACCTTAATATAAGCATACCTGATTTCTAAGAAAAAATCCACAAAGTTTCTTTAAATTGTGAGCTCCATCTCCAGAACATTCAAAATGCACTCAGCTATTGGTAATGCAACCGCTAAGAGAGTGGAGAGAGCGGGACGGCAGCAGCACCATCCTGGGGTTACCTGCTCGGGCCGCAGCAGCTGGAGGCCTCCTTGTTCTTAAAAGCAGTCCTCCGAAGATAGCAGTTACTTCAGCTGCCTCCTGGTGGTGGCTATACTGCAGAGGCACCCTGCAGAGTTGTAGCACTTGATCCCTTTACATCATTCAAAGGGTATTGTGATGCATTGTGGGTTAGGCAGTTTTGCTAGGTAATGCCTTTCAGGTCTCTGGCTCATAAAAAGCAACGATTCTTAGGTGTCTATGAGAGCGCAGCTGCATGTGCAAGAAAAGGTGAAAATTAGTGTGGAAAGGAAAACCATGTAGACAAATAACCCAGACTGTTTCATCACTAGAACTTTCTTTCCTATAAAGATTATTCCAGGGGCAGCGTTAAGTCAAAGATCTAGGTGGTGCTGTACCTGCAAGTACCGCCCTCCGTGGGAGTGGATCGAGGGGGCAGGGGCCGGCACAAGGGACAAAGGAGTCCAGCTCTGCGTGGCCCAAGATAGATTAGGCTCCATCCTGCTGCTATTAAGGCATCGAAGAAGGCTTTTAACTGTTTAAAAATAGACTTCAAACCGATCCACAAAGCAGGATAGCAGCACTGCTGTAGAACAGCAGGTCATAACCTGAGAGCAGAATGGCGAGAATGTGCGTTCAAACCAATCTTATCAAAACCAAAAAGGAAACGAAACACGAGTGTTATCCACAGCAGGCTGGCCTGCATACAGGAACACCTCTTAGTTAAATCATGTTCGCAGCTACAAAGTAAAGCGTTCCCATAAGCTTCCAGACGGCACTGAGGAAAGACCAAAGACTAGGCTGGGGTTCCCATGGGAGCCTAACCTGCATAGAACAGACAGATAATTTAATACCAGAGTCTTAGTGACACAGCATTTTGTTGAAAGCAGATATGCTAGGGAAAATTTAATTATAAGAACAGAACTGACATAGTGGGCTCACACTAGTGGAAATGATAAACGGTTCTCATTTGTTGAGTAAGCACCTTCTATGTGCCAGGCATTGGGTTAGCTATCCGATATATATCATCTCACATCCCCACCCTGACCACGGAAGGTGAAGATATCCACACGAAATTGTAGGCTGAGAGAGGCTGAGGAACTTGCCTGAAGTCATACAACGAGGCTGTAATCAATCTAGGATTTGAATCCAGCTCCTCCTGACACTGAAGCCCAGGAGGAATTACATTTTAATTAAAATATGTTCGTTTTTAATTTTAAGAATAATAACCCATATTCTTCATGGAGAAACAAACAAAAACTCCCCATGTTATTCATAGAAATATACTTGGGAATACAAAAAAAGAACAAAAAAGAAAGTTAAAAAATGAACATAGGGTCCGGCCCTGTGGCGCAGTGGTTAAGTTCGCACATTCCACTTTGGTGGCCCGGGGTTACCCGGTTCGGATCCCCGGTGCAGACCTAACACTGCTCATTAAGCCATGCTGTGGCTGGAATTCCACATACGAAATAGAGGAAGATGGGCATGGATGTTAGCTCAGGGCCAGTTTTCCTCAGCAAAAAGAGGAGGATTGGTCGCAGATGTTAGTTCAGGGCTAATCTTCCTCAAAAAAAAAAGAACATAAATCTCACTAATCCAAAATTATTGTTTTCCACAATCAGTGAACAACAGTTTAGACATCATTCTAAACATATAAAGGGATTGACACTAAGCTTTATAAACAAAAATAATTTTAGAAAACTAGGGTCATACTATATGTGCCACAGATATAAAATATAAAAATATAATTTAAGTAAATTTTAAAACATTAACTTAAAATTCAAATAAAAAATTATGGTGACTAATCTACACAGTAGACGAGGTCATGTGGATTAGTCATAAATTCCTCTAAACAGTAGGGACTGCTTCTGCATGAAGATGCTCGCTCATATACATTTCCTCAAGCTTATCCGAAACTTATTGACCTCTCATACATAGTTCTCCGTTCTCTTCTACTTAACAATGTCCTCCGAATTTCGCCTCTGGGTTTTGTAAGTGGCGAGCTAATGGTTCCTTTCAGAAAAGTGTTAGTGAGATCATCTCGTAAAATCTGGTTATGAGGCCATCAGTCTATCTTTTCACAGTGCTGTGTTGCCATTTGACTCTCTCAAGGGTCAAAAGATTGCCAGGCCATCCTGAGCACCATCCATGGAAGAAATCATCACCTTTTCTTCTAAGTCTTAGCTTCTAGCTTCAAAGGATATTCGTTAAAGAACTCTTCCCCAGTTAGCTCACTGGGGGGCATCTCTCCTCATAATCTCATGTTTCTTCCCTGGTGACATCAGAGAGCTCCGAGACTTTCCTCATCTGCATATGATGCGGGGTCGGTGAGCCCAGGAGTTGAAAGAAAGATTTCTTAGACTCTTAAGATCTGGCAGTAGTGCTCTTTTATTTAGAGAATAGAATAGCATGGGGACAGGACCCATGGGCAGTCAGAGCTTCTGCTGCTGCCGGCATGGGGACAGGACCCATGGGCAGTCAGGCTGCTGCATGGGGACAGGGCCCACGGGCAGTCAGAGATGCTGCTGGCATGGGGAGCTGCTGCTGCCACCGCTGGCATGGGGACAGGACCCATGGGCAGGCAGAGTTGCTCCCGGTATGTTGCTGTTGCTGCTGCCGCTTCTGCTGCAAAGTTGGGTGGAGAGTAAGACTAAATTTAAGGCATAGGTATGTGAGTCATCTCTTTGCAAGACAAAGAATATGTAAAAAAGTTAAAACGGTATCAGTGCCCCTAGGGTCCGGCCATTTGGCGGTCCCACAACTTTTAGATAAGAATCAAACCGGATTGAGTAAATGGCAGAAGTCACCGCTTGAATATTATCCTCAGCTACAGACAAAGGAGGATTGGGTGGAGGGGCGGTGCGTTACATGAAGTTGCCAGACAGTAAACAACTTAAGTTCTTGCCTCTGGCATTGATTAAGAGTTTCTAGAGATAAGGCCATCCCCCTTCTTCCTGGCACAGAGAGGGAGGCATCTTCACAGATAGAGGTTTCCCTTAGAAATGTAAATGTTTCCCAACAAAGGGACAAGCAAATTCCACTCCTCAGAGCCTGCTTCTCATCTGTAGTTTTAAAATTAACCAGTCTAAAAATCCTCATTACATAGAACCTCTAAATATCCTATTTAAAATAATACATGCCCTCATAGTTCAGATAATACGGAAAAACATAGTTAGGAACACTAAAATAATCTGAAATCCTTCAATCCAGAGACACTACTATTACTGTTTGAGCTCATTAAATATATCACAGCTATTATTAGGGTGGGGAGCCATGGTATACTTGGATCCCTACGCATTGAGGGTTGTCACAGGAGAAGCTGTGACTTCTAGTTACCCAGACATTATTCTAGGAGAGAGCAACTCTGCTGAGTATTCCTCACCTACTTTCCTGAAACATCCTCATCCTGGCTGCCTTTGAACATGGAGTCAGCTCTAGCTGGCAGGTTCCCTGTCACTCCTCTGGTCCCCTTGCTGGCTTCCTCCACCTCTCTAGTCTAAAGGTGCCCTTCAAACAGAGGAGCCCTCTAGCCCCAAAGAGGATGAAGATCCCTGTAGCAAAGACTGTGGTGTCCTACCCAGATTCCGCCTTCAGGACTGAGGCATTTCCGTATCTGCTCAGAGTGTGTGTTGCCTCTTGGTGACTCACAACTGAATCTCTCTCCAAGAATTGCCCTTGGCCGTAGGAAACTGTCTTCCACACTTTATGCTCCCACCTGCAGGCAGCCTACCTCCCATGACTTGTCAATATGAGGACACCAAGGTCCAGCCCCCTGGGGCTGGACAACTTTGGACAACTGTGAAGGGCCATCTCAACTCTAGTGGTCCCTGGGAATCAACTGGCTGAGGCTGAACTGCTGTGTCTGAGTTCAGTTTCTCCCTCATGCAATCCTGCTCCCTTGGTTCAATTGCAGAGACAGTTCCTGACAGCATTCCCCAGGGAACCACCTCTATGCCATGCTCTGTCTTGATGAGGATTTTTAGGCTGCTTAATTTTAAAACGGTTTATGATGAGGATTTTTAGGCTGCTTACTTTTAAAACTGCAGATGAGAAGCAGGCTCTGAGGACTGGAATTTTGCTTGCCCTTTTGAGATATTTGCATTTGTGAAGGAAGGGGGGATGACCTTGTAGGGACCTGAAATTGGCCACCCCAGGATATGTCTCTTTGGCATCAGGATTGTTTTGGGCTGATAGCTTTCGATAAACTGGGACAGGGAGGGAGGCTCTGGGGAATGGAACTTGCCCTTGTTGGGACACATTTACGTTTGTAAGGTAAATCTCTATCTGTAAAAGGTGCCTCCCTCTCTGTACCAGGAAGAAGAAGAGAGATGACCTTGTCCCTAGAAACTCTTAATGGGGAAGGCAAGAACTTAAGTTGGTTGCTGTCTGGCAATCCCATGTAACTGGTTTAGGGTGGTGGCGTCTAACCTTTCTAACCTTTACTTAATCCGATTTGATTCTTGTCTAAAAGTCATGGGATCACCGAATGACCAGTCCCCACCTGCACTGATACTATTTTAACTTTTTTTCATGTTCTTTCCTTTGTCTTCATAAAGAGATGACTCATATACCTATGCCTTAAATTTAGCCCTAACCCTCAACTCGGGGCAGCAGCAGGAGCTCTGACTGCCTGTGGGTCCTGTCCCCATGCACCAGCTCTGCCTGCCCATGGGCCCTGTCCCCATGCCAGCGGGGGCAGCAGAAGCGGCGGCAGCAGAAGCTCTGACTGCCCATGGGTCCTGTCCCCATGCTACACTATTCTCTAAATAAAAGAGCACTACTGCCAGATCTTAAGAGTCTAAGAAATCTTTCTTTCGACTCCTCGGCTCACCGACCCCGCATCAGTCTCACAGGCTACCTCCCAGTGGAGCTAATTTAAAAGAGTTGGTTCTGGGAGATGTCCAAGGATTTTGGATTCTGGAATTCCCTCACCTACTGGCAGACTGTCAGGGAGCACCTCCCCACTGGTGGCAGGTGAAGCAGGGACAGCCCCTGGCATTCTGTAGTGAAAAGATTGTTAAGACTTCCACTTATGTTACCAAAGGATAGGATGTGAGTAGAAGGAAACACACTGGCAGGTGCAGTTTCTCAGGTGTTGGAGAGGTTGGAGGAAGAAGTCATTCTGAGAT